AAAAAAAAAAAAAAAAACATTAACAGAATATGAAGAATATGTATAAAGAAATTGTTTTACATCATGTGTATTTTTCCATGTTTTGTGTTTTTAAGATTGTTAAATAAATAAATATATGTAAATATATGAGTTATTTATTGTTAATAAATACGTAGGAATATATAAATGAATATATAAGCATAAAATTTATAAAATAGTTACAGAAGAAGGTCGACGTTAGTGGAGTAGCAGGCTATTTGTTCGTCATTTCGCTTAACAGTAGCTTTGACATAAAATTCTCCCTCTAATAAATAACCTGGTACATCATTCGGTGGTTCTGGTATTTGAAATATAGCCGGCTTTAATGTATAAACTCCCTGAAATTTAATATATATATATATTTAAATTTTAAAATATATTTTTTTTATAATATTTTCCGCTTAAAATATTACTTTTGACCTGACTACCAACGTTAAATTGACATTTGAATAATTATGTCATTTTCACATCCAATCAGGCAAGTGATTGAAAATAAATAATATGGAAGAAGAAAGATGAGTAAAAAGTTTATCTACGAAAGAAAAATAGTTGTTGTTTATCAATATTTTATGGGAAAAACTAAAAAAAAAAGAAAAGAAAATACAAGTATACAAGGTCGTGTGAAGCTACCATAACTATTTAATGATGCTTGTAGTTTGTTTCTGGTGATCAGGTCAAGTTTACAGTGTACAAAATATAGCACATGTGAAAATTTACCGTACGAAAAGGGCATCCACACGCTTTCTCCTGTTTCGTTTTAGGGTCCATACATTTGTTTTCGTGAAAAAGTTGTGTGATGCAAAGATCTTCGTAATCACACGATCCGATTCCGTTCGATAAACAAGGTACTCTAAACCATGTGGATAAACCGAAGAGAAGTGGAACTTTCTTCATCATCTCCAAGCTAACCTTTAAAATTATTTTAATAAAATATAATAAAATGCATGGAACCATTAATTAAGAAAATTTCCATTATTAATTCTTATTTTAAATAATAGATGGCGCCATTTATCTCTCGATACTTTAAATAGAATTGTTGTCACTTACGGGTAGAGGAGAAGTTTGGTTTTTTCTCACATCCATTTTCAAGTGAACTTCGACATTTCCGGGAACAGAAACTGGATTAGGAGCTACTTGAAATTCATCGACTAATACAGGATCCCTTTTATCTCCGCAATTAGAAAAGTGTAGTCGTGCGAAAGGCCGTCTATTGATCGTTTCTTCCTGAAAAATCGATAATAAATAGTGTAAATTATACCATTTAATATTTAAAAAAATATATATCAATTGATTGTTTAGATGAAAATCGTATATAAAAGAAGGGACGAACGAAAAAAAAAACAAGAAAAAAAAATATATTGACCCGAACGTGATTCGAACACGCAACCTTCTGATCTGGAGTCAGACGCGCTACCATTGCGCCACCGGGTCGACGTCCCTTAACGCTTCTTAAGAGCTTATTTATAAATTGTACGGAAGCAAAATAAATATTGCGCGAAAGTCAAGTAATAATTTACACGTGGTTCAGTCAGTGGCAAATTGTCGTTCAGAGTAATTGAAATAAAATATTTTATAATATCGATCGAAATATATGGCATTGAACTTATTTAAACTACTCCCACGTGGAAAATTTCCAATATTTAATATATATTAATGAGACCCAAACAGGGGAGGTACCAGCAAGGCCCTTGATCCCGGCCTCAGACTCGGACCCTAAAATTTAGTCTTTTTCTACACGCTTAAACGAGTTTTATAACAGTAAAAAAAATAAAATAAAAATATTTAATAATACGGTTAATCAAAAACACACGCTTAAAATTCATTGGAGCATTAAATAATTAAGTCTGTCAAAAATAGCAAACTTTATCATTCGATCGGAATAAGATATATGTTTTTTTTTTTTTTTTTTTACAAGGGATAAGTATAGAGTGTGGATAACATCACAAATCTCATGTAATTACGTCGCTCAAAAGTTTTATATAATATTAATGAAGGGAGGAGTTTGTAATTTTCTTCGGAACGTCTTTAAATCGCATCTATACCTGGAAATGTCGAGAGGAAAAGAAAAAAATGAAGGCCTCTGACCTTCGTAATATTGAGCAATATTTGCTCCAATAAGCGGGTTACGATTGCGTTAATGAACTTATCCTTGGGCTAAACTGGGAAGGAATCTTGGTGAAAGTTCAAAGCAGATGGGTGTCTGGTCATGAGGACATACACGTCGGTTCACTTCCGCCTGTTAATCCAGCAAAACCGGACTTCGAAAGCGTTCGGCATTTTGCTATTACTAAAATAGTATCGAAACGGATACTATTATACTATACTTCGTAGATTTCGTACAATTATGCCGGCATTCTTGTTACGATACAAAGTATTGTAATGTATTGTATACATATATGAAAAAACGGATGCCATAAATCGCTCGTTTAAATAATAAAAAATTATTTTCTACACAAAAACTCGTTCTTAATGCAACTATATAACATTTATACATTTAAATCTTTATAACACTTTACAATTATATAATGAATTGAATTTGAAAAAGAGAAATGCCTCGAATAATCTCGTAAAATGTCATTAAGATTTATGATAAATGTCGCTCCATTTTATAGATTTAACTTCTAAACATACACCTTAATATTTCTCATTATTTTCTTGATATATTTTTTTAAAATTTATTTCCAAAATTTGCTGAATGTTCTTGCTTATCGAATAGTTTTTATTATAATTTACGGAACGTTCGATAGAGTTTAATATTGCGTATCAAAAGCCATTCAATTGTAACTGACGGAGGTCAAAATCATGAAAGGTTTTAGGTCATGTGAATAATTAAAATATTATATGTTTNAAACGCCTCCTGGGAGGCACTCTCATTCGGCAAATCGCCAATAAAACCGAACCAACGATACTGTCTGTACTTGGGGTCAAACATGGTGTCATCGGAAAGTACACGAAAATGTAAACAACGTTTACTCTATTGTAATTTTCGATAACTCCGTTGTCGAGTAGCTTTGAAATAGTTTTACACTTGTCTAGGGAATTTTTATGATATGCTGAACTTTAGAACTAGTTAACAACTGCGATATTACAACTTTTTTAAAGACATAAAGTAAAAAAAGAAAAAATACTTGCCTTTTTTACTACTTTATTCGTCGATAATTTATGTGCGAAAAATAATAAGCTCTCACTTAAATAATCACCAATACCAACAGCAAAAGTTGGCATTAGATGAAAACAAATAAGCGCCAAGGTAAGACGTTGCCAACACCACCGAACCATGACCCCGAACTAGAGAACCTCTCTACAAGGTAGACATCCTGACTACTACGCTATTGGCCATTTGTAGATTCTCTTATAACTTGCTAGGTGACTCGCGTGTTTATGATGTGACGTCTTTTATTAGAAAAATTTAAAACAAGGCCATTAGCCAATAACTAGCTAATAATAGTTTATATTAAAAAAAAAATCATTTTTTAAAGTGTAGTCTTATTATAATTTACATAACTTTAGCGTTAACATAAAGATATGTATAATTATTCGAAATATTACACATTAATTAATTACATTTATAATGTTTTAAAATAAAAATATGCCAAGTAATTTACGAAAACATACTATTTTGCCCTTATAACCTTCACAACTTACCACTTTAATCTGCGTGGGTTTATTACACAAAGTTCAAGGACCCCGTTTCCTCGTGTTTTAACAGAAAATTCTCATTTACATCGTATAAAATTCTCATGTAGTTTAACACATCGAACAAAAAAAAAACATCGTTTAAGTTTACTGATGAAGAAAAAGAAATCAAAAATTTAATCTGTCACCGTTTATAATACTGTATCCTAAGTTAAAATCAATTAAATTACCTTACTATATCATCAATAAAAAAAAGAAATGTGACTGACAGTAGGATTAATTGTATTTGATTAATTTGACAGAGATATATTCACGATCTACATCTGAAATTACAAGCGAAACTTGTTCATTTTTTCCTATAAAACACAAATAATACTGGTCAAGTGCACTCACCACTCACCTTGCATTTAATGATCAAAAGTCACGATATACACGGTTAACTCAAATGACACCTTATTTATAATCAATAAAGATGTCCGGCTTTCTTTATTTTTTTCATAAAAAAGATCTATATAATTTAATTCAAAAGAAAAGAATATTCTATGTGACGTTTTAAAACAGTTTCGTATTATTCATTCGTAATAAACTCATAAATTATACAGTTAATTATAGCGCTACAGAAGATCCTCTTTTTCCCGGACATCCTCTTTTCTTATTAAATTAAGAATAATATAAATTAAGTAAAAAATATTTTATATACAGTTTTAAAATTGATTTTAAATGGAAGCAGATATGAACAAGGACAAATTAATTCTAATTTTAAAACGACAATTATTTTATAAAGCACAATAATAAAATAATAATAAAAAATATAATGGCTTACAATTTGTAAAGTATATTTTATAAATTATTAGTTTCCATATTTTATTACTATTTTTAGTCGTAATTTATATGCTACGAGTTATTTGTTTTGATATTTATCATCATAAAGAAAACTTATAAAATAGCGGAACTAATAACATAAATTTCGCTATAATGTCATCATGTTTCTTGCATGAGAGTATGTTTCTTGTAACTAGAATTTCATGTTTTTAGACAATTTTTTTTTATTTGATATTTGCATAATCTTTCTAAAGCACCTAGAGGAAAAAGTCTACTGAATGATTCCCTTTTTGTTTATGTTTTTTTTTTTGTTTTTTTGTTTAAATTCTCAACTTCATCTTAGTTTATAAAACTAAAACTTACAACCTCAACTTCATTTAAAATTTAAAAAAATAAATAGAAGAAACTCAGCTATTTGCAAAATTTCTTACTTTAAATCTTTAAGGTAAGAAGTTTTATGCGTGATAACTATAAAGCGCCTCATATATATTATAAAATATTCATAAAATTCTAGCAACGAGTTGCGTAACTTTCTCGGCAAAAGAATTTAAAATTGTGTCATTGCTAAAGATTAAGGGAGGAGTTAAGATGTCCTATTCCTAGGGCCATGGTCTATCTCCACGGATTTCGTCTTCACTTCTTCCTTTATTCTTTTATCTTAAACGTGAGATAAACATGAAAAAACGGGTGTTACAAGTAAACAGTGCCATAACTTTGAAATGATTAAAGGTAGGACATCAGATTAATCATGGTCAAACAAATTGCAAGGAAACTGTACATATCCAAAAGTTGGTGAATGCGTGTGTCGAAGATCATAGGATTATGGGGTCCTAGGGGACGTTTCTCGCTAAAGTCTAATGGTACGTGGCCGAGTGAATAAAACACTGAACACTGGTCGTGAATTCGCGCCTCGCCAACGGGCTGGCCACGCGGTGTTTTCGGGTTTTCTTCACGTTAGGAATACCTAAATAAGAGCCAGTTTCTCATAAAAACGCCTCCTGGGAGGCACTCTCATTCGGCAAATCGCCAATAAAACCGAACCAACGATACTGTCTGTACTTGGGGTCAAACATGGTGTCATCGGAAAGTACACGAAAATGTAAACAACGTTTACTCTATTGTAATTTTCGATAACTCCGTTGTCGAGTAAAGTTAACATAAACATATAAGTCATCAAAGGCAGGCAAGCACGTAAACAAAAGCAACTGTCGTCAGCGCACGTTTACAGCTCTGTGCTAAAGCAGGTATGTGACCAAATCATTTCCCAGAAATTACGGCATCCCGAAGCAATCGGCATCGATTGCTTCGTTTTTGTGTTTTGCAATCGACTATTCGATGGATCGGGTCGTCGTTCATGGCCGGTAGGTACAAGAATAGCATCTTTTGTAACGGCAAGTGCAAAGTTCACCTGTCCACGACCATCAGGTGTAAATCGCCTTTTCTGTGCCTATCAAGTGAAGGGATCGCTTGTTTCTTGCCCGCTCCGCTTCAATTCTACAAACTTGTGTCATGTCCTAATTATGTTAAATTTACTCGACAACGGCGCGAGTTATTAAAAATTTCCCAGAATAAAGGTTGTTTACATTTTCAAATATTTCCCGATGGCACCATTATTGACCTCGTGTATCATTGAGCATTGGCAAGAAACCTTCCATAGGCCTTCATAATCTGAAGATCTCCGACATATAGGCTTACACTCACTAACTTTTGGATCTGTACAAATCTCTTTCTTTACCTTGTCTGGCATAATTAGTCTGTTCTTTCTATCTTTAGTCATTCCAAAGTTATGGGACTGGTTCACTTGATTTGTAACTCCCAGTATATACCTATTCGGTCCTTCATTAAACATTACTATTGCTTAATATTAACTCGAACTTGTTCTCTTATTTATTCATAATTCTTTTTTTTAATTCTTTGTTTAATCTATTTAAATTGCTTTTAATTTATCTTCACTCATAATTTCTCATGCGGGTAAAATTCTTGTTGATAGAACTACTTGAGTTAAAAGAAGAAGCTAAATGTTTGATAAAAACAATAAAATGGTCATTAAAATTATATTTTAATGACTTTTCTTAATTTAGTACATGACAATTGCCATAATTAATAATGGAACAATGAAAGCTTGTTTATGAAAAATAACATCAATAAACAAATCTTTCTATACAAAAATAATAGAAAATCTATATGCAATTTAATAGCTTCACGATTAATAAATATTATAGCTTTAAATTATCTATATTCACAAAAGGTTTCTTACTATTTATTACATAAATTATATAAATATTATTCCATATTATTTTCAATATAAAACTTAACAAAATGTAATCAATTAATTAAATTTGTATAAAGTAAAATTTGACATGTTAATACCCTAGATTAGACTGATAATATATAGATTTTATGAATTTAAAATGTAAAATTATCGGAATGAAATACAGTTTGCGTGGTAAGTATTGTCGGCACGGAGGGTTTTGTTGACAGGGAGAAGAATTAGTTCAAAAAATCATCGATGAGTAGCGTTGACATACAAAAGACAACCAATAGACGTGACAATGTAATGACTTTTAATGTGATTTCTAATTGTATAAATAGAGTTTGTTGACCTCCTAATGTTAACAAAGTATTTACATAACTAAAAATATAAAATATGCATAGAAATTTAATAAAATTTTAAATTATTAAATTAAATTAACTATTTTCTGCTAAAAATAAATACAGTCTTAAAATAAATAATAATGTATTTATATAATAATCTCAACATCTGTTTAAATTAAAATATTAAATACTAAGAACGGAATTAAATAGATGAAAGTTAAAGACCAGATATGAAAAGCTTAAAGGCAGAGGCCCTGATAAACTATATACGAACTTCCGGTATGGACTGGAAGTCACATGATTTCAATTCAAAAATCTCCCTCTCCCCCCGAAAGGAGTTAGATAGATGACCAACACGACTCTATTGTTAAAGGAAAAGTATGATGTACAGGGGTAAAACACTAATAATTTGAGGTGGCGAGCATATATTTTAAGTTAAATAAATTAAAAATATGATTAAAAATTGCGACCATGTCACAATAAATAATTGCTCATCATCAATAAAGTATTGTCATACAGTATTATCTAGTTTTAAATATTTTTAAACAATTGGCACATGATATAAACTCTAAATTTCATATGAATTTATAAGAATATATGTTTAAATTATGCTCAGCTTTTAGGAAATAAGCATAAATTTAAAAATGAATATAATAAAATACCATTTGTATGTATAATAAATTAGTAACCTATATAACAGTAATTTAACACGCCATACCATATCATGTTCTGAATAAAATGCCATAGAAGAATAATGAATTAATTTATGACTTTCCCTGAATAATTTCTGTAACACGACATTTATCATCTGATTTTATTCCTTGAAACACGATGAAAAAGGGTGATAACTTTAGTTATTTTTAGATATAATTCATATAAATAATAGCATGAAAATAATGATTAAAATTATATACTAGTAATTCGAGAAATATTATAATTCCTATAGATATTTAAAAGCGGATGATACCTATTTATTAATTATAATAAAATTATTATGTATCTCAATCTATTCATAATCACCTCGTAATTTACAGTATTAATATATTGAACTGGATAGATCTGACATATTCATTACGATCCTCTATTTGAAATATATTAATAAATAATTTTTAATTAATTTAATTTAAAATATATGCTCTCCATCTCAAATTAATAGTGGCTTGCCCCTGTACATCATACTTTTCCTTTAACAATAGAGTAGTGCCGGTCATCTATCTAGCACCTCTCTGGAGAAAATTTTAAATTGAAGTAACGTGACTTCCGGATTGCGTGGGAAGTTCGTATATAATTAATCGGGCCACTGTTTTTAATAATCTTTCCATATCTCGTCTCTATTTTCATCTACATAACTCCATTCTCGAAATTGAGGAAGATTGGTAAATCCACTATGAGATTAAATCTACATTTCTAAGTTATATACTATGTATAATATCTCCACAACAGATTCAGTAGACAATGAATTGGATATAAATCTAATATAGTGTGGTATTTTTGAAGTGTAGATCACTTTGAAGCGTTGTATCAATATAATAGAAAATTGCTCAACTCTACCCAACTACAATTAAAAACTTAAAGACAGCAATCAGGAGAGTACTTCAATGATTTCTAACGTGAAAGAGATAGGCAAAAAAACATGGAGAAATTTAAAATTTATGTGAAGAATGGTGATTAGCATATACAAGTCGACCCCCCTATAACACTGTTGATTTTTCCGTTTTATATGAATTCCATGTTGTACGAGTCACTTAGATTTTACAAATACGTGAGCCGNATGTAACAAAAATATTATCATTTATAACTTTAAAAATAAATTTAAACAATAGATATATTAGTAGAAGAAAAACAATAATAATCATAAATAATTTTCTGTTTGCAGATAATTTTTTTATTATTCTCATAGATAAGTTTTTTTTTACTTAACAATTCATCATCATAATCAATATAAATAGGTAATGAAGGTCATTGTTGATTAGGACAGGATCACTGCTGTATTAAAATTATAATATCTAGCAGGTCATAGATTGACATAGCATTTATTATATCAAAAAAACAAGTAATAAATGTTTTTAAATTATAATAATCAGTATGCAAAAGCAATAAAATATTTAAATAGATATTTTCCTCTTCTTACTTTTTGGTTATTGGGAGGTGTGGAAGATCCAGATGCATATAAACACGAAGTCGATTCAACAGAGCTGCTATAAACACCTAAAAGTAATAAAATTTATTTAGAAAGATGATATCTTAAATTCGATTTTCATGATTAAAACATTTAAAATTTCTCAAAAGAAAGTTTTTTAAATTTAATTTTAAAACATGATTAAAAATTGCGACCATGTCACAATAAATAATTGCTCATCATCAATAAAGTATTGTCATACAGTATTATCTAGTTTTAAATATTTTTAAACAATTGGCACATGATATAAACTCTAAATTTCATATGAATTTATAAGAATATATGTTTAAATTATGCTCAGCTTTTAGGAAATAAGCATAAATTTAAAAATGAATATAATAAAAATCACTCTGATCTTTTCAAGTCTTTTTTTTTTTATCATCAAAGAGATGTACTTACTCCTTACGCATTTCAAACTGCATCAATTAACAGTTCCTCTTCAGTGGTAGAAATATACAATAATAATGACAACTCTAGTATACAAGAGTACCGAGATTATTATTGTGTATTCCTACCACTGAAGAAAAACTGTTAATTGGTGCAATTTGAAATGCATAAGGAGTAAGTACATCTCTTTGATTATATAAAAAAATAACCGATGAAAAGATCAGAGTGATTTTTATTATATTNGGCACAACCCATTCCTTTCGAGGAAGATAACAATTTAAGCGAAATGAATCATCGATGATCATCATTTAAACAGTGAGAAAGAATATTTCTCAAGAGAGTCCAATTTGAACTTTTCCCATCGGCCATACTATCGGCAAATAATTCGTCCGTCAATAGTCACATGGTATTTCGTCACTGCACGCGATTTCGTAGTCATCGAGTGACGTCACTGATCGACGAAAGTTTTCGTTCCATTTTTTTTTTATTCCAAAAAGTTTCTGTTTCTGTTAATCTTACTAATAACAATAATACAAAGAAGGAAAGATTAATATATAAATATAATTACATTATAATATAACAATAAAATAATTGTATAAAATGTAAAAAAAAAAGTTGGCGCCATCTGTTGCTCACTATTTTAACTTAATGAAATAATTTAAAAAAAAATTACGAATGTATTAAGTTTAAAAGCAATTATGTATATACAGTATATATAACAAAACGATTCATAAGAAAGTAATAAAAATGGGTTATATTTATCGATTGTAAACGAGTATATCGTGACTTTCGGTCATTAAACGTAAGAATCGTTATAATAGAGCAATGTTGTTTATGTTGTATGAGAACATAAACAAGATTTTCGAATTATTTCTATAGTTTATAACGGGTGTCATTAGGTTAATCGCGATTTAATTATCATTAAGAATGTAGGTAAATCATTTATTTAATATGATAAATATTTTTAACGAAAATTTCTTGTATTAATTAATAAGCCATTCTTCACAGATCATATTTCTGTTAATTCTTTCTAATTTTGGCTCCGAAAGTGGATTATTTCAGCAGATTTTTATGCAGTTTTTTTATTTGGTTGGTTTGTTTGTATTCTTCTCTAAAAACTTGTTATTAGCCTGTATACAATGCAATACAATACACTGAAAAAATATCCCTTCACAAGTTGCCTACAGTCGACCCCCTATAACACTGTTGATTTTTCCGTTTTATATGAATTCCATGTTGTACGAGTCACTTAGATTTTACAAATACGTGAGCCGTTCACAGCCCGGCACACGTATTTCTAAAATCTAAGTGACTCGTACAACATGGAATTCATATAAAACGGAAAAATCAACAGTGTTATAGGGGGTCGACTGTAGGCAACTTGTGAAGGGATATTTTTTCAGTGTATTGTATTGCATTGTATACAGGCTAATAACAAGTTTTTAGAGAAGAATACAAACAAACCAACCAAATAAAAAAACTGCATAAAAATCTGCTGAAATAATCCACTTTCGGAGCCAAAATTAGAAAGAATTAACAGAAATATGATCTGTGAAGAATGGCTTATTAATTAATACAAGAAATTTTCGTTAAAAATATTTATCATATTAAATAAATGATTTACCTACATTCTTAATGATAATTAAATCGCGATTAACCTAATGACACCCGTTATAAACTATAGAAATAATTCGAAAATCTTGTTTATGTTCTCATACAACATAAACAACATTGCTCTATTATAACGATTCTTACGTTTAATGACCGAAAGTCACGATATACTCGTTTACAATCGATAAATATAACCCATTTTTATTACTTTCTTATGAATCGTTTTGTTATATATACTGTATATACATAATTGCTTTTAAACTTAATACATTCGTAATTTTTTTTTAAATTATTTCATTAAGTTAAAATAGTGAGCAACAGATGGCGCCAACTTTTTTTTTTACATTTTATACAATTATTTTATTGTTATATTATAATGTAATTATATTTATATATTAATCTTTCCTTCTTTGTATTATTGTTATTAGTAAGATTAACAGAAACAGAAACTTTTTGGAATAAAAAAAAAATGGAACGAAAACTTTCGTCGATCAGTGACGTCACTCGATGACTACGAAATCGCGTGCAGTGACGAAATACCATGTGACTATTGACGGACGAATTATTTGCCGATAGTATGGCCGATGGGAAAAGTTCAAATTGGACTCTCTTGAGAAATATTCTTTCTCACTGTTTAAATGATGATCATCGATGATTCATTTCGCTTAAATTGTTATCTTCCTCGAAAGGAATGGGTTGTGCCAGTTCCATTCTAGGTAAAAAAGACAGTAAAAGAAACAGAAAGAGAGCTATGAGTACTACTGAAAGAGGTAAAAAAAATTATTTTCACTTATATTTAATATATACTTTAATAACTATAACATTTGCAATAGTTTAATAAAGAATTTAATGTGTCAAAGAGGAGGCAGATTTGCGATCGACCCCTTTTATATGGTAGGCTACGTGATCTAGTAGACCTCTTCTTCCTCCACTAAATAATAAGTAATGAAGCGATGACCTTTGTAATGAGTGGCCCCTAAACTATATATTAGTTTAGACGCCTTAGTGGCACGCGCTAAGAAGGGTGCCTTCAACCCCCGACAAATACATTCAGCCCACGAATCACATCCGGCCATTTTTTTATGTTCTTACATTAAACACATAATATCTGTGTTAAACACACTACAATAAACAATTGTAATCTGTCCACAATACAAGCACTTAACTCCGTCTAAAAATAAACACGTAAAAAAAATGAAAACTTATAAAATTTTCTTCGAAATATATAGTATAATAACACTACGAAATCGATTATTGGGTGTGGATTAGAAAAACTTTTCAACACTTAGAATTTTTAGATGGTTATTAAATATTTATTCTCTATCATTCTTGAAATAAGAAGGTTTCATTATTAGTAAAAATGTCTAAATCATTTCTTTTAATTAGTCTAATACATTTCAAATGATATAATTTATATTTTCTTTCGTTCGATATATAGGATTAATGAAATTTCAATAAGATATTCTTCCTGTTATAGTTTATAATAACCTCAAACTACCTGAAAGAAAATCATGTGCGTGAGTGAAAGCTTTAACCTATAATCTACTAATTTCTTTCGTGGTCTTAATCGTTTTACTATAATATTTCTTTCTTTAACAAGTTTTCATCAGCTTATATAGTTTTAACCATATTTTTTGCATGCATTGAGGCCTTAAGATGAGGGAGGACATGTCCGGGGCCTCATCTTCTTAGGGTCTCATTTTGTTTTATATCTATGTATAATGCTTCTAAAGAAATTGGGCCTTGAGCCTGATTCGAAAGGGCCCAAAACGTCCCCAATTTTGTATATTATTTACTAGAAAATATTGTATGCATTTATATCCTTCTCCTAAAACAAAACGGAAAGTTTTTTTATAATAGTTTATAAAGAAAATTTAATTTAAAGTATTTATAGAAAGGTAAAAATAGTTTGATACCACGAAAGATCCGTTACATTAAATATACAGTTAGGTTTATATATATACTTAAAATACCAGCAATTTAAATAGAATTCGCTGCTAAATGAATAATGAAGTGTTCATAAATATCATAAAGCATTTAAGATAATTAAGATATTCAAAATTAATTAATTATTACGGCATGAAAGAACACTTTAAGTAATGTTTTAGCGAGATAGATATAATTACTGATGGATTTCTCTGATAAAAGAAGTGATGATGAATGATCCATAATAATATAATTGGATTATAATATTTTGAAAGTATTGAAACCTAAAAGAATATGTATATTATACTATTAAGTTAGTTTTGTTATTTTAATTATATAAAACATTCTTTATAGTTGAATACCGGAAAAAGATAGAAGGAAAAATGACTGCTGATTTGATATGTTTTCTATAGAAAGCGTATATAAATATAGAAATCTCTATAGAAAGCAGCTTATACTTATAGTAAAATATAATTTTTTTATAGTGTTTAATGCAGCCGTTTTGATACAAAAGTGGTACAGAAGATATTTGGCCTTACAAGAAGTCAGAAGACGTTGTTCTTGGAGTATTTTTCAATCGCTGGAATACGCAGGAGAACAAGACCAAACGAAAGTAAATGAACTTAAACAATAGTTTATAAGTGTAAAATTAATTTTATTTTCTTCTGTGAAGCGTTTATTATTTTTAAACGACTAAGAGCTTACATTGTATCTATAGGTTTACAATTTCTTCAATGATTTGTTATCGTGTATGACAAGTTTCTCGTCCGCCAATGGCTACACTATTTTCTCTCTGCCGTCAACAAAAGGTGAGAGACACACCCGAAAATGACGTTGTACGAGGGCGTGGACAGATCAGTATAAAAAAACATTTTTCTGAAAACGTTTCTTTCTCTTTATTTTTAACATTGATTTTCTCCAATGTTTGTAGATATGCCAAAAGCTTGGCCTAAAGTTGAAGGCGAAGACGTTGATTTACTTCGCAGAACGAATTTGGATTTGGTTAAGATTGAAAATACATACGAAGGACCGCATCTAAAACAACCATTAACAGCCGAAGATATAGTACAATTAATAGATACCTTCAAGAGAAAAAAAGTAAAATTTTGCATAATTTTTCAAGTCGAAATTTATCGACATTGAATTTTTAAATTATTATTATTATTTTTTATTTTTAAAATAGACTCTTCACGCGAAATATGTGTTGTTTATTTTTCACGGAGCGAGGAAGATCCTCCGACAAAAGCCAAACATTAACTTCGTGTCAACAGCCTTCGCGCGACAAATTACCATTTGCGGTGATTTGCATGGCAAAATGGAAGATCTTTTCACCATATTTTATAAAGTATAAGTTTATTTATAGCTCGCTATCCATATATATTTATAGTTCTAATTTTCATAATTTATTATAGAACGGTCTTCCAGCACCTGATAACCCATACATATTTAATGGAGATTATGTAGATCGAGGAGAAAATTCTATCGAAATTTTAATCATTCTGTTATGCTGTCTTCTCGTTTGGCCAACATCTGTTTTTCTAAATCGCGGAAATCACGAAGATTTCAGTTTGAATTTAAGGTAGATCTTTTTTTTTATTTACTACAATAAAACCTGTTTAAAACGGAAGAACCCTCCATAAAACAGAAATTTTCCGTCGTGTGGAGGGTTATTCTAGAGGGAAAATATGGCGATGGGTCAAACATGACTTTCTCCCCCAAAATTTTTACATTTTTTGAACTCGGGAGACCTTGAAACGCCGAGAAATGCAGAAAATTTCGGGAGTTTTTCTGTATGTGTGGATATTAGTGTGTGTATGGCACCTTCTTCGAAGCTTAATAACTCCTGTGCTTTTTGTTGAAAATTTCTGGAATTTTTCAAAGAGGTTTGTGAATTAGAGAGATTGATACTATTAAATTTTGATGGTTAAAGGTCGACGGTGTGGAGAGATAAAGAGGATCATGTGCAGGGCCGGATCATCGCATAGACAAATGAGACAAATGTCTAGAAGGGCCCAGTCAAACTCTATTTTGAAAAGATTTGTAAATAAGATAGTTTACTTTTCTGTTGGACAACTATATAATACTGGTAAAACTGGTAAAATGTTATATTATTTAAATATTAACCGAAAAGGTTAAATTAAACAAATAAAAAGGCAAAACCATATTTGGGGCATGTCTGGGAGACTCACTACTAAGCGGAATCACTTTGACGCTCAAGGCGGGTCTCATTCTCATTCTCCAATCTTCTTTGGTATCGCTGTTTTTGGGTGCGATCGTTCAAACTTCGCTGGCCACGACCACGAGGTCGTCCACGATGCATTTTCGGTGAAATTAACCTATCCAATTTCGAAATTTCTCTCCGTTGCAACCCGTCGGCCCGGGTTAAATTTTTGTCGATGCCTAACGAAAATTTCCCGTTTTTGAAAAAAATAATCGTAGCTATTGTATCGTCCGAAATTATTTTTTTTATTTTGCAAAAACAATATACAGTTTAACCCGATTATAACGTCATCGGATGTAACGACAACCCTAATATAACGTCAAATTTTTATCGGTTCCACGATTTTACTATACTAGATAATGTTAAAAAACCCTACTTGTAACGTATTTGAAGCACTCCCAAATTTACAAAATTAGATTACAAATTTTATTTAACAAAGAAAATACTACGTGTTCAATCCTAGGGTCAGAGTTCACTTCTTAGAACGACTGTGGGTGCTACTCTCACAACCTGACTTCGATTTGCCTGTTTGTAGAGAGTCGCCATTTTGTATTTTACTTTGACTCGGTTCTCGGTCCCCCGAGTATCTACAAGTATATTTAATATTTTTTGTGTACTCTATCTCTTGTGAGAGGGGAAGGGGGCCCGGTAAGAAGAAAATGCCTAGGGCCCCAAAGTGGGTTAATCCGGCCCTTATCATGTGTCGTATCTCTACTGTGGTCGGACTTAATGACGATTTTACTCGTTATTAACGTTTACAATTCTTTTTATAAACCCATAACTATCCTCAAAATTAACCTTTTTGTCATTTTATAATAATTAAAAATATAAAAAGTTTTTAATAATAAAATAGCATAACAAATGGTGCCACACAAGCAGTTTTAAATGTTGCCGGGAAAGTTAAGTAACTCGTTGCTGGAATTTTTTTCTATTTTTTTTTATAGATTCCGAGATTTATTTTCCGTTTACGCAGGTTTTCGTTTTGTGGAAGGTCCGTTTTAGACAGGATTTACAGTAAAGCATTCTTTTTAAATTACTTTTCCTTAAATATCTATAGTAAAATTCTGGTTTTCTAGGTATGGATTTATCAAAGAAGTAATGGTAAAATACACGGTGAGTAATCGATCTATAACTGGTTCATTTAAGAATCATTAACAGTATATTAATTATTTGAATAACAACTTCAGAAACACGCTGCAAAAATTCTTCATTTGGTGGAAGATATTTATGGATGGCTCCCCTTGGCTTCGATAATTGATAATAAGATTTTTGTGGTACACGGAGGAGTGACTAACGATATCGAAATCAATAATATTGCATTCTTGAATAGGCATCAAGTAAGTTAGAATATTTTTTTAAAAATTTAATTAATTAAAAGTTTATTTCATATTTAAATAATGTTTAGTGTGGAAAATGTATGCAATTTAATCTGATTTATATATGGAAAATCTCAAAACAATGTGGGCTTTCATACGATTTTGCAATAACAATTCCAGTAACTCCGTATTGAATTTCGTAAAATTTGGATTCAAAAAGTATATTAAAGTCTACATTTACAGATTTCATTTTTTTTTAATTATTAATATTAAAAGAAATTAAAATAGCATAACTTTATACATTAAGAATTAAATAGAGTTAAAAAAAGAAACTAATTGAATTCTTATTGACAGATCTATATGTCATTATCTTTCAAACAGAAATGAATGAATGATAAATTATATTTTTATCGTAATATTATTCATTATTTATTTATTTATCCACAGATTTAAAGTTTAGGAAAATATTCTTCTTAAGTTTTAATATTTTCTAATAAGGTTTTAAATGTTAAGTTTTTAAACTTTAAGAAAATATACATGATTAATGTTTATTTTCCTATTTTGCTTGTTATCTTTTATATTTATTTTAGCTGGAATTTGGAGATTTTATTGAATTTACTTTATTATGTACAATACAATTCGATAATTTTATATACTTGTATACTTAAACAGGAAATAAACTGTTCATATTCTGAAAATGGATCGACTTTAAAGAACTAAACATAAGTGCATTGACACTTAAATATAAAAATCATACACTTGAATTTCAATCCTCTATTGAGAGAAATTTCGATACTTAATTATATGATAATTTAACATATCTGACTAAGCGGTATTGATGTTTTAATTATACTCATCTACGATCCTTTGTTATCGGAAGTAGATTAATCTACTTTCATGTTATAAAACTGTATCAATATATCGAAAAAAATATATTCTGTCTTGAGTTTTAATAAAAAAAAATAATAATAATCCGCTCATTTTTTACACATTTCCTTCAGTAACAGTTGAAGGTCAGGAATGGATAATGATTTTCCCTTCATTTTATATTCCGCGAATACTTATCGATTAACAAGTAGCTACAATTCAAAGAGAAATTCTAATCAATTCTTGCAGTTTACATATTAAACCCAAAATTTACAAATATTTGATAGTATTTTTTAATTGAATATTTTCTCGTTATTAGTATCTGACTGTCATGAGACCGTATATTGATGATGGACAATTGATGTATGATGCGGATGAATGGAAACAGGTAGTTGAAATATTTATCGCAAAGTAATTAATAGTTGCTATAATATAACTCGAAATACTATTTTCCAGAAATTCTTTTAATTTTAGGTAGTAGATCTTTTATGGAGTGATCCTAGTTCGCAGTTTGGTTGCCAACCGAATATTTTGAGAGGTGGTGGGAGTTATTTTGGTCCCGATGTGACAAAATCTTTCTTGGAACGTCATCACTTAGATATGATTGTGAGATCTCACGAATGTAAAGCAGATGGTTACGAATTTACTCACGATGGAAAGGTGTGTGTGTGTTTTTTTTTTCCAAATATTATGAAATATTTATGAGTATTTTTTTCGAATATATAATGAATATCTTAATGGCAGGTTCTAACGATATTTTCTGCTTCGAATTATTATGAAATTGGTAGCAATAGAGGTGCTTATGTAAAATTTGTTGGTCCTACTTTACATCCGCACATAGTAATGTATATTGGAAACGAATCGACTTACAATCTTACCATTAGACAAAGGTACGTAACGTACTTACAATGTTAATGTTAAACTGTATTCGAATAAAATTATTAAGACAAAAAGGTAATTAGTTTTATTAATATTAAGGAACGGATATATCGAACAATCTGCTGTAAGAGAGTTAAAAAGAAAACTTATGCAATTTTCAAGTCAATTATTAGAACAATTTAGAAAATGTGATGTCGAAAAAACAGGTATGTGCAATTATTACAAATAATTGAATTTTCTTTTACTTTCTTGAAACAAAAATTTCGAAATTTTGTAATTTATACTGACATGAAATTACATTCGACAATTTTACCTAACAATCATCGATTAAAATATTGCGAAGACGATAAGGATAACGTTTCAATCAATATTCCAATTTTTACCAAAATGTCAATTTATTTTCTCTTCTTTTTTTTATATTAGAACGTAATAAACTGTACTTGAATATATTTAGGTAGAATTTCTATTACTGATTGGTGCCTTATTATGGAATCAGTAACAGGACTTAATCTTCCATGGCATCTCCTGTCTTCTAGAATAGTTGTAACAGAGACTGATTCAAATACCGTCCAATATCATACAACTTTAGAGGATAATACTTCTATTCAGCAAGTAAATAATTTCAATTTTCGTATTTTTATACTTTCTTTTATTGTTTTATTATAATATTTATATATTTTAAAATATAATTTTCGGTTTTTAGAATTTTCCTTCATTATTAGAAACTTTATATCGAAACAACGAAGCTCTCCAGAATGTATTTAGTATGATTGACAAGGATGGATCAGGTATTACGAATGATTCCCTTCGAAAAAGGGCCATAAAAATACGCTTATTTCCGAGAATTTCTAAATAATAATTTAATATAAATTTATCATCATTTTTGAAAGGATCCATATCAATGAAAGAATTCGAAGAAGCCTGCATTCAAATAGAAAAGAAAATGGGCCGACATTTTAAAGAAGAAGATATTCGAGATTTAGCTACGTCCATTGATCTGAATAAAGATGGTTCTATCGATTTGAATGAATTTTTGGAAGCTTTCCGTTTGGCAGAATCTCAACAATGTCATTTGCCTTAATATCTTTCTGACTTCTTTCTAGATGTACAACATTCTTAAATAAATAAGATTTGGCTAAATAGAATCATCATTAAATTATCATTCCATCATTTGATAATACACACAAGCTGCTGATAAATAATTTTCTTCAAAAATTATATATTATGTAATAGAACGTTATTTATTTTTCATTAATATATAATATAAATGTCCACTTCTTTTTCCAGTTTCTTAGAAAATCTCCTGTATTGTTGGATAATCGAGAATTGTAAATAATAAATGATACTTATGTTCTGTATGTTTTTTTAAAGTATAATAAGAAAATTCTATATATAGTATTAAATAAAACACCACTTAAAATAGCTATATCAATGACTACTTATAGTAATCCTACAAATAATCATTCTCTTGTTACTGAATTTTCTATACTTCGAATTTGAAGTTCTCAAGCACCTGCTCTCGCTTCTATATCATGTTATATTTTTCAAATCATTTTAAAAATGGAGTAAATATTCTAAAAATATAGTGCCTTAGTCTTTTAAATGTAATTTCTTCTCTTATTAACTCTCAATATTTCTCAAATTTCTAGATTAAAATGTAACTATTCATTCAAATAGTCTATCACACAGGCTGGTTTTAAAATTTCCTTCTGTGTTATTGAAATCAATTCATTTTACTTGCATACTTTCTCTAACAAATAAAATATTATTATGAAGAGTAAAGTAAATTTAATAAATAAAATTATTTTCATTTATTAAGTAATATTATATATGATTATTGTGAAAAATTTCTACTACAAAACTTAAATTTTTCAGCTTTAATTTATGAATTTATGAGCCATTTTATGTGTCATAAACTCTGTACAAACTTGTATTTTATTATCTAAAATTTTTGCAGTTTCATAGGAAATAAAAAAAAATTAAATACATTACAAAGAAGTAATTAAATAAATATTATTATCTATTAATAAAAAAATACTAGAAAGCTATACAGTAATTTAATAACATTCATTTTGGTATTTTTTAATATTAAATACTTTTAAGTAGATCATGCAAAAATCATATTTATTAAATTTTTTTAAATAAAATTAGAATTGTAAAAAGAAAATAAATTATATCAGGACATGTGTAAATAGTAATTTAACTCAGTAAAAATATTTAAATAACATTATATAAAGTTACAGGAATTTTTATATGATTTGACTCCCAAATATAAATCATAGGTCTAGTTTACATCTAAATATATATTTATTTCTTACAAAATGGTAATGTTTTATTTACAATAAAAATATTTTTAAAGCAAATATATGTGTTTTTAATTTAAAAACATTTCATTCTATAAATAAAGATTTATAAAAGTATTAAACTCTCATACAATAATTGTATTCAATTAATGTTGAATGTGTGTTGTTAAAATTTATATAATAAATGAGATATTAAGATAATATAAAAATGTAAATATACTTTATCTTTTAATTCATTTAATATATAAATATTGGAATAATAACTTGTTACTTAATGGTAAAAGCATATTGAAGTTGTATTGATTTTCACTGAATGTTGTTTTTGGATAGAATTAAAGTTAAGTTAATTCCATTTAGATGAATATTAAATACATTTTAAAATAAGTATTATAATACCAGCATTTTTACTAAATAAAGTATTGAAATCTTTCCAATTTTATTAATAGATATAAAATTTAATCTCTTAAATCCAGTTTAATTATTTAAAACAATTAAGAAAAAATTCATTATTATAATACAGAGTAAAACATTGTTTTATTTAAAAAAATGAAATTTTATTTTGAACAATTATTTTACAAATTTGTCAACAGATAGGGCTAAATTAAAATGTGTCATAAATCCGCCATTTAATTCTTTCTTTGCGCACTGAGTAGTGTTGCTAAATGTTAAAAATTATGAAGTAGGACATAGTTTAATTAATATACATACGGTTTTTATGTAAGTATATAAAAATAAACCCCGGATTTAAAACATGGGAAACATGTTGAAACACTGCACCGTATAAGGTATAAATAGTTTAGAGTGAGAAGTAAAGATTTTTCTACCTCTTCAAAACTCTATCTCTTTAAATAAATAGTTTTGGCAGTTTGGAAAATGTCGAATAATCAAGGCATTTCTTTCTACATTTACCCATTTCTCTTCTGAAAGTTTACTGAAATATCAATTTATAAATGTTAACCGACTTTTGATTCAGCCTGTATATTGGAATGGTGACCTTCTGATGGTAGAAGATAAAGACCGATTAATTAACAGATGAAGAGATAAAATGGTTACGATAACTGAGGTAGAATCGATAAGAAAAAGCAACTCAAAGAAAGGAATGGAAGTTACTAAAGAGGATTTCATTAGAAAGAAGACGGTTAAATAAAAAAGTATATGATGTAAGCTTTTATAACGTTTCATATTATTTTAATTTTTGTTTTTAATTCTTCTTTCATCTTTCTTGGATCATAGCATTCACTTGATGGCTAATGTCTGTCTGCTAGTGATTATGGCCGGCATATACATCTATCGTGGATTTGACCGGGCATGTAATTCAGACAACCGATATAAATCGACCATGAAAAATTCCTGAGATTTTCGATTTGAACTCGAATCCGAATCTAACCATAGCGGTATAGGGATGCTTTCATCGTCTCGACCACCCGGTTCTCTATCATAATTCTTTGTCTTTTTCCAAATTTTAGTTATGTTATTCGATATTTTTGACTCTGTAACTAAAAGCAATACCATGTGATCAAAAAGTATTTGAAGTGGTTCGATAAAAAGCAAAATTTGAATTTATTCATTAAAATTTATTTTGTCCCCCTCAAAGTACAGTAATACAGTATCTCCCATTTCAATGCACTTATGCCAACGTTTTTTGCAATTCTCGAAACATGCTGTGAAGTCGTTTTCGTAAAACCCTTCAGGACTCGCAGCATAAATTTTAGTTTTATGGCATCAATCGACCACTAAGCGGAAAGTTTAGTCGAGGAAACAGGAAAAAGTCACAGGATGCCAAACCAAGTGAATACCGAGCTTGTGGAATAGTATTTGTTGAATTTTTATCCAAAAATTTCCGAACAACAAGAACATTGTGAGCAATGGTGCAAAAATCCATGAATTTTCTCGCGATAAATCGGATCGTTTCCTACGAATTACTTCGCGCAAACGATTCAAAACGCTCTAATAATATTCTTTGTTGACAGTTTGGCTAGTCGGAAGGAATTCGTGATGTACAACACCATCACAATCAAAGAAAACAATCAACACAACCTTAATTTTTGACTGACTTTGACGAGGTCTTTTCGGTCTCGCTTCATTTTTCGAGCGTCATTCACTTGAATGTTGAGCTGTTTCATTGTCAAAAGCGTAGATCCATGTTTTACCCCCGCAATGAGGCATCATAAGAAACATTCACTTCGAGAGGCATTTTCTCGGCCACTCGAACACGTTGCTGTTTTTGAAAAAAAATTCAACGTTCTCAGAACGACTCGAGAAGAGACGTGCCGCAAGCCAAAATGATCAAGCTTGACGAAAACCAAATGATACTGAAACATGTTCAATAATGTCCCTAATTGTTAAATGACAATCATTGAGCACCAAATCTCTGACATGGGCGGCGTCAGAGATTTGGTGCCCAATGATTGTAGCAATCAATTAAACAACACTTTGCAATCAGTTGATGATTTCCAGAGCACGGTTCCATCTTCGAAATGATCTCTGCCTTCAGCGAACATCTCATACCACTCAAAAACCCTTGTTTTTGATAGGCTATCTTCATCAAAGGCTTTTTACAGCATTTTCAACGATTTTGTAGCAGTAATTCCGTTGCAAAAACAAAATTAAATGCATTTTGAAAAATCACCGGCACAAAAACGTTTATTTGCAAACGAAAAACGACGAGGCACCTTCTTGCAAGCGCGTAGTTTAATTAAATAAACCAATCCCGAAACTTTTTGATCGTAGTAGTAAATTGTTTAATCTATTTTAAAATAATTTTTTCGCAACACATTTCTGTTTTTATTAATATAGACTACATCTTTACATAAGAAAGGATTACTATAGTACAGTTAAACATTTCATTTTAATTTACAGTCATGTCGTTAATATTCTATGCAAACGACTCCAAAATTCAGATCTTTTATCGGGATCTTCGGGCCAAATCAAGTATGTTCTCGTTTTTAGTAAATATTTTAAATTTTTACTCATGTAATTTCTATCAATAGGTCCAACTTGAACGAAGACCAAAGCATCCCGAGAGTAATGAAATAATTGATGTTGAGCAACGTGCAATTCGTACATACACCACTGACTTTTGACGAACGAATCCGTTAAAATGAGTAACACTTTTCGACTTTTATCGATGGAATCTAAAATATTCTCAGTGATTAGTTTTCCTACTTCGAAATCCCGATCGTGTATGCAAAGACGAAAATTTGAATGGTGACTTTCTAAATTCGGCATGAGTATTTGGGCCACCCAGGCTACATCAACTGAATTATAAGATACGAAAGCATCGTATTCGTAATTTTCGACATGAGAACTTGTCGAATATCTTCTGAGTGTGGAATGCAAATGAAAGCACATGTATCTGAAATACCATTTATAACGAACGATTACGATAACAAAAATTATTAATAAGATCATTAAAATTGATACTCCTATAGCTACATTTATTATGCCGATGATACTTTCGGGTAAACAGTATTCAAATTCTAAAATCATTAAGGATTGCCCATCAAAATCCTGAGGCGAAGAACAGGCGTACATTGTTGGTTTAGATAAACTTTTATTTTCGTTATTCCTCAACCAAATTTTGAATTCGTGCACGCTACAGTGATGGCAATCGTAAGGATTTTGGCTCAAATCGAAATGACGGATTTGCTTCAAATCATCAAACATTATTGGAGTAATTCGATCGATTTCGTTATTGCTTAAGATAAATGTATCGGGCAAAGTCGTGTTCTGAAAAATCGAATAATTCCAATAAGTTACTTCGTTATTTTCTACGTCAAGAAGTTTCAAATTGGGCATATTTGAAAATATTCCGTGTCTTAAAATCGTTAGTTTGTTACCCGAAATAAATAGTTTTTCAAGCGAAGGAGTTTGGATGAAAGGAAACACCCTATAACCAATGAAGAATCCATTATTTCTCACAGATAATACCTTTAAATTTCGTAGACCTCTTAACGTATTGTTTCCAAAGAAAAGAATTTTATTATTAGAAAGATCTAACGTTTCTAAAGATGTCAAAGTGCTGAATGAATGATCGGATATAATTCCAATATCGCAGTTTGACATTATTAAAACACGTAAATTAACTAAATTATGAAAAGCAAATCGTTGTACAGTTTTTATATTATTATTTGTTAATAATAAACCACTTAATAAAGATAAATTAGCAAATGCATATTCACCAACGTACAAACGAATACCATAATTTGTATTTCCATACTGCTTATATAAATATAATAATCGAAGATTACTCAGAATGGAAATTCCCGAAGGAATCTTTTCCAAGAGATTTGCAGATAAATCAAGAATTTCAACAGAAACGAGTCCTTCAAAGGCTCTCTTTTCTATATCCTTAATTTCGCAATTAATTAATCTTAAGTAAGTTAAATTAGGTAGAAAAGTAAAAGAATTATTCGGCAAAATTTGCAATAGATTGTAACTTAGATCCAAACTTTGTATAGAAGTATTTCTTAAAGCAGATATGGCAAGTTTAGGAAAACCTTTTAAGCCTAGTAAGGATCTCAAGTCCAGAATGCGTATTGAAGTCAGGTTGCTGGTAGCATTGAAGAGCGATTCTTCATCCAGTTTATTCCCTGTAAGGTTTAACGTCTCTAGATTTTGAAGAAATCCGAAACTTCCTCTTTCTATAAATAATAAATCACAGTATGATAAATCTAGATGTTTAACGGGTGAATTTTTCAATATAATTAAGTTAGTCTTCGTGATTCGTCTTATATTATTATTTGACAAGATAAGAGTGGTGAGATTTTCGAGAATGCTGAATGCCGCTGGTATTAAATTCAAAGATATTATTCTATTTTCACTTAAATCGATCGTTCTAAGATTTGGGCACGCAGAAAACGCTTTCTTCGTCAATGATCTGATGTTATTGGTACTAAAATTAAGAAACAATAATTGTTCTAATCCTTGGAAGAATTTTGAAGTAACGTACTGAATCGAATTATTTGTAAGCTCTAACGTAATTAGACTCGTTAAATTTTCGAAAATTGCAGTTCTTAATATTTGCACGGGACTGTTACTTATTTGCAAATGGGTAATTGTTGCTGGAATTCTTTCTGCAATTTCAAAAATGTCCACATTTTTACATTTTAAAATTGTATTCGTTTGTACGCAACCCAAGACATCTTCATTCTTTGTCTGGTTTACATCGACATAATAAGAGTTATCGAAGTCGCTCGGGTAGTTAAAATTTTTCAATTCCTGCTCCAATAATTCAGAAAAATTAGTAAAATGTCTATTAGAAGGATGCAATGTGAGTCCTTCGAATAAAACCTCCGAAGTATTATTTTCTTTAGCATTCTCCAATGAACTCGTTAAAGAAGAGAAAGGCAAACTTGCTATAAGTATTAAGATGAATTTCATCATTTTTTAAAATCCCTAGAATTAAAAAAAAATTAATGAGATTTAAATATAAAATAACGTAATGTATTAAACATCACTTCATTTAATTTAGGACGATGTAAATAAATATAAAATTCAATATAAAAAAAATTATTAAATAAAGAAAATCGAAGAATATAATAGAATTAAAACTATATTAAACTTGTTTTTAAGTTAATCTTGATGTTATACAATACTAACCTACATTTTTTTATGTAGAAAAAATTCAAAGTTCAATATAAAATTCGGATCAAGGCCTAAGATATAGCGTGCAGATTACTACTTGTTTTTGCAAATTATTTTTTACTGCAAATTAGCTACCTTATGCCCGAATGTGGTTAAAAATCTTATATTTTCGAGGTATTTTTTTAAATAGAATATATCAAAGAATAATTAATGTTATATATAAAACTAGTAGAGGTGCTTCTGGGTGACTAAGTAAACAAACCGCTTACTTAGCTGGATAGCTGCTCACTACACAGAAAGGCTCATTATAATATTAAACGAGTATTTATAGCTATTTAAATATATATTTTTCTGTTACTATTTTAAATATAATTTAAGTAATATAGTATTAAGTGTGCTTTGAGTTATAATATTAAACAGTGATATATTTAAAATTAACGATAGATTTAGTGTCGACACATCTAAATAAGTGATGGGTTTATTAAGAGATTAGTTATTCTGATCTGTCATTTACTAAAGCTGTCGTTAATCATCTAAATATCCTCAATTATATATCTGATAAGTTGACTTTCATGCCTCAAGAAATCATAATTAATAGAAATATGTTTCTATTTTGAGTTCTTCTTTCTTTTTCTGGTTTATACTCTTAAAACTCATGTGGAATATTATTTATGTTGCTTTCCACGTGAAAAGTGAGACATTTGGAATAATATTATAGATTTGGGTCCAAAAAAAACCGTATTAAAGTTGTGAGAAAATGATTGAACGGCTTAATTCACTCTATCAAAAAGAATTGTCTTTATTAAACGAATCAATGGAAATTATAATTTAATTTTCATATAATATATATAAAAATGTTTTCTTGGAAGTTATATAAATATATTCATATAGAATAGCTTATCAGAATAAATATATAAAGACTAAATAACATGTATAGTACTGTATATGCAGAACAGTTTTAAGGTTCTGACTAATTTTTAGAGACATTCTATAGATACAGATATAAACAAAAATATTAATAGTCAGCAGTGAAATAAAGCCCCTAAGAAGACGAGGCCCCAGCTGTAACTAGATATATTCTAACTAACTGTAACTATTTAGGTATTAGACAGGTGGTTTTCACCACCTGTCTAATACCTAAATAGGCACCAGATTTCCATAGAAAGTCCGTCCTGGAGGCATTTCTTTTGACAGATCGCTCACTTGTTGCGTTGCTTTATCCCATCCAACCAAACAAACATCACAAAAATTCAGTTTAACAAAAAAATAATCTATAAGCTATTTTTGTAATTAATATCTTGAAATATAATATATTTAACTTTTAAAATATATAATTATATAAAGCAAAATTATTTTTAAACTCGATATATTTATGATTATGTCACGAAAAATAGCAATAGAACAGTCTTACAATGAATTCAATCAATGCGTATATTATTACTTTGAAGGTTAAAACACTTCAAATTAATAATATACGAATTCACCTTAACCCTTTTGTTTCAGAAATTAGGCCTTTATTACAAATTTCTTAATAAATAAATGAAAAAATAGATGATCAATGTAATAATATAAGAAACACAAAGGATAATTACGTTAATTACGTTCCTTCCTATATATGGAAGATATAATTAAAAGTAAGCATTTAAACATTTTGGTAAATATTCCATTTAAGTTATTTCCTTAAAAGAATCCGAAATGTTGGTCTAAACACATCTAAAAACACCAGCTAGTGTTTTGCTGGTGCTGGTTATTGTAGGCAAAAGTCTTTCATTCAGACAAATAGAAATGACGTGAACAGTTTCTAGATCCAATTTAAACTTTAACCAATCGAACCAGTTTCCTCTCAGATTATTAGGTCAAACAAATTAAAAAATTAAAATGATATAAATTGACTGACACTTTTTGTATCATTAAATATAATTTGTTCCTACGAACAGTAAATATCTGTTAAGAATGAAATATTGGGTAAGTTTTTAGATTTGTATAAATATTAATTATAAAATTAATAATTCTATAATATTAATATAATTATAAATAAAATAATTATGTATTTTAGAGGATAAGTGTGTCTGAAAAGGATCAAATTAAACTTTTATTTGTAATTATTTGTAAAATTTTGAAATTTGTTTACGTTAATTCGCAGTGATTATTTCTTTTTGTATTGCATATTTGTTTGAAATACAGATTATACCAGAGTATTTTCAGAATCGGCTCCGTGTTTTATAGGGTTCAGGATAAAATATTAATATAAATGGGTCTTTAATGAAGAATGCGAGGTGCTGTGAATGTATCCATCGCACCCCCCCCCCTTAAGCTGGCTCTTTGTATACCCCGTAGGGTCCAGAAATCCGAAAGATCCAAGCTACTTACTCTTTTGAGATCTCCCAGTATATTCAAAAAACGAAAATATATATATTTAAGTAATAAAATTAGACACGAAATAAATGACTTTTGATACACAAGAAATACGGAAATATAGTGAATAATTTGCAAATGTTTTTGAGGCCTACGTAAATGTGAGGGTCAAATCAAAGAACCCTGTAATAGGTGGGAGTTTATTGTACAGTCCAGTACAATAGTAAGTGAATATATTCAACAATCTTAAAACTTAATCCCCGATCCAATTCATATACACTTACCCAAAAATATTTTAATCCTAATTGTAAACTTATGATCTATTTGTTATTTTCACAGGTATTCGTTTTCATCACTCTGTTTCTGATAATGAAAGTTAAATCGCAAAGGCGACCCGATATTGGTTTAAATATTGGTGCAAACGTCGGTGGTAATTTTGGTTCTATCGTCGACATAGACTTCAATTCTCGCCTTGGTGTCAGGATAAATAGACCAGGTTATCGTGCTCGAAGTTCTAGTAATCGTCCCTTAAGATTTGGTTTCGGCACTAAATTTCTGCGACATTAGAGAATGTTTTAAACACTTGCAGAAGAAAAGTGTTTACACAGTAAACTAGATCATATTCGTATACTTTTCAAGTAAAAATATCTTTCTGGAAGTTCCCGTTGGACAATTCTTCTTGCTTAATAACTTTTAAAAGAACATAAATATAATTTAATCTTAAATGTCAAGAAGTGAATTCACGAATTAAATGTAATTTTGCATCTAAAATCAAAGAAGAAATGACTTTATAAAGGATTTAATTTATTTTTCTACCCGAGTTTATCATCATCTCTTATCGACATCATCCACGTGGCCAAAGAATTCTCGACGTCATTGAGTCTATGGACATTATCACATTCAACAGTTATCATTAATTTATAATATCACCTAATCAAATATTTGTAGCAGAAGTCACAACAATAAAATATTATTTATAAAGGTGTGAAAACTAATTAAATTATGGAAGTTCAGAAACACGAAATTTATAAAAAGAAGTTCCGAAAAATCATAGTAATTTGTTAATGCTTTGATAAAATATGTTTAAATAATAAAAATGACACGAAGGAATGACATTACATAAAGGAATCTGTATATAAGTTTCATGCTTTAAGTAAGTAATTAATAATTTAGATAAATAAATTTTATGCCCGCCGCGATATGGCGGGTACGTTTCATATTCTTATTATTTATCGTACAGATCGGGATATATTTCTCCATCTCTAACACGTGCTACCCGATGCTATTGAGGGCCAGACTTATAATGCACTGATGTTTCGTATTAATAAATCTATCAAAGAAAATTGATTATATTAAAGTAAATCATAACATGTTTTCTTTGCATTTACATATGCTCCATGTCAGATGTCGGCTTGTCAGATTTCTTCTTTATTCTTCATTTAAAAATAAATAATTAAAGAAACAGACGAAATATATTGTATATCCTGGTTTTAGTTTAAATATAAATCTTTTCAGAACATTTAATAATTATTAATTTGATAGGATAAAGCAACGCAACACGAAGGCAATTCGCCAAGTGAAGTACGGGGTACTTCCTTGGCAGATGGCTTTCGGAGAACTTCCTATTGGAATTCCGAATAACTTTTTATAGGAAATTGGCCACTGTTAAACGTTAGACATGCGAAGAAATCTCGAAAAATTCCACGAAACTAGTTCATTGAGTCACGAGTGAGAAAACTCAATTCACGGTTTTATACACTCGGCCACTGATGGATCGCATTCAAGAATAACAGCCATTTATTAAAAAAAAATAATAATAATAAGTTATATCATTTATGAAAATATTTAAAGTTCCTTTTTGTTTTATCTGTTATTGTGCTACTTATAACTGAAATAAGTGAATTGTATCTACAATTATACTTCTAGTTTACATATAATCCAGTAGGCATTACATAAATTGTTAGCTAATTTGTTAATTAGGCCTTTGAAATTCTTTGAGTAAACCAAATTCACACATCAGTTGTTAGGATAAAGACAATGGTTAAAGACAAACTCGTCCTGAATGCAAATCGCCTATCGATAAAAAAAAAAAATTATATCTTTAGTAAACGTAACACCAAACGTTTAGTCAATCATATACTGTCGCAATTCCCGTATTGTTTCTTGCATAATTAATATGCATCGTTCCGGCCTTCTTTACTCGTGTTGATCGAACCAATTGCAGATCAAGCCAACTCTTTACGGTTTTTTAAGTGGCAATATAGCATCGAGTTGCTTAACTTTCCCGGCAACATTTAAAACTGTATTTGTGGCGCCAT